CAGCCCTGCAAGCCGTTGGGTGTAGACCGTCCACCAGGACTTGGGTAAGACCCCCTGGTCCTTAGCCTGCCCGAGGCCGGTCGTCTCCAGCGCTGGCTCCGCCCAGGAGCCCCCTCGGCCCCCTGGCCGGGGGGCGGGCAGCGAAGGCAGGAAGCTTGCAGGGACTTGGGTTGGGTTGGGCGGCCCCTCTTCAGGAAGTGGGCGGACCGGGGCCACCCACCGTGGAGGACCCAGAGCCCCGAGGGTGCAGCTAAAGCTGACTCACTTAGGGTGGGGTGGAGGCAGGGTGGAGGTAGCTCTGCTTGTGTGGCGAGCAATTTCTGGCCGAGGCCAAACCAAGACACCAACCAAGACACCAAGAGCGGCTACTTCGGCTGGGGCCACACGTCCAGCAGCAGGTCCCGGAGGAGCTCGCGCTGCCGTAGGAGGAGGTGGAGAGCGAGAGGTGGGGTCGGGGAGCAGGGGGATTTGGGTCCTCTCTAGGCAAGACAGCGCTCAGGGCTGGGCTGGCAGGACCCGTTTTCCACTCATCCTTCCTCTCCATCCCACCAAGCCAGGCCTTCTCTCCCCTGGGCCACTTCACCCACTTCTCGCTGCTCTCCGTCGCTACCACACAGGGTTCTGCTTCCAGGGGTGCCTGGTCACCTCCAGTTCCTCTTGTGCTGATATGCTACCCCTTTCTTTACCACCCCCTGTCTCACAACTTCCTTTATTCCGCCATGCCATGCCCAGGGACCCTAGAAGGAACTGGAACAAGGAGGGATGGGAGCACGCTGTCCACTCATTTACACATGCAGCTACTGCAAGTTCACCACACAGCATGTGGTCCCTGGCTGGCTACTCACTCACTCACTCACTCACTCACTCACTCACTCACTCACTCACTCACTCACTCTGTGGACGGGTACTGTTTGGCCCCAGCACTGGGCGAGGGGGGGACAGGATACTCTCAGGAGTGGATAGGACCTCCCTGCTGCTCAGTTGCTTAAAGCTGACAAGAAGAGAGTGCCCCAATCAGCACAAATTAGAAGAAAAAGCTCCGAGGGAAACAAAGGACTGTGACAGCTAGTGGTGTGTGTGTGTGTGTGTGTGTGTGTGTGTGTGTGTTGTTTGGGGGTACTGAGGAGGAAGATGCACTCCACATTGGTCAAGAAAGGCTCCTGGAGGTGGTGGCGTCTGAGCTGGGCCAGGATAGCGGGCAGTTTGGAGGGCCACTGTTGGAAGGACATCAAGGTGGAGGGAACAATAGCTACAAAGGAAACTGAGGGGTGTGATGGGGAGAGGGAACAGTAGGGAGCTCTGTTATAGCTGGGGAAGATTAGAAGAAAATAAGTCTGGACGAGGATTCTGGAGCCCAGCAGAGCACAGGATGGACCTCAGTGACCCCTGTCACAGGCCAGGGGAGCAGCCCTCTTCTGGTGGCCCAGAGGCACGACTCTGAGAGGAGGTCCTGGAATGAGAGTTCTAACTATTAGAACTCTTTTAAAAAAATCATTGTATTGGGGGCTCATACAGTTCTTATCACAATCCATACATCCACCCATTGTGTCAAGCACATTTGTACATTTGTTGCCATCATCATTCTCAAAACATTGGCTTTCTACTTGAGCCCTTGGTATCAGCTCATCCCCCCCCCCATGAACCCTTGATAATTTATAAATTATTATTTTGTCTTGTCTTACACTGTCCGACATCTCCCTTCACCCACTTTTCTGTTGTCCATCCCCCAGGGAGGAGGTTATATGTAGATCCCTGTAATCGGTTCCCCCTTGGACTGAAGAAGCTCTCCTAGCCTGCAGGTGCGTAAGTGTGGAGATGCTGAAGGCAGAGTCTGGCCTGTAGAGGCTTCCAGCTAGGACAGTGCTGACAGGTGGGTGAGTTGGAGGGATGGTGTCAGACGTTCCCTGCTACCCAGAGAGTCTGGGCACCGATCTGAGATGGCTAAAAATCCCAGCAGAGCGAACTCCTGGGTGCTGGGTTCTTTATTCACCCATTCATTCTTTTCATTCATCACTTGGTCACGGCCCCTGCTCTGGACAGGCCCTGCGCTGGGGACTCAGCTGATTCAACGAGGTCCCTTGTGAATTCCCAGAGTGATGGAGGAGATGGGTTCATGCTTGACTGTGACAACCCAGTGTCATTGTGGATTATAGCTGGAGATGATGTCATTGTGAGTTGTCACAGGAGTGGAGGGAGGGTCTAGAAATGGGACACTGGCCTGACGAATTAGCACATGGTGGTCTTCTGGCCAGGAAGAGTCAGATGGAAAAGGAGGTACCACGGGCAAGGGAGTGGCTGTGGGAGAAAATAGTCCATGTTGAAGGGCCTACAGGGCCTACAAGACAGACTCTCTCCAGATGCAGGACTGGATGGGGGCCAACATGAGGGCTGGGCCGCTGGGCTGAGGGCACAACAACTCACTCATCTCAGACAGCAAACGAGCCTGTCAGATCCGGGGGCCCTCTAGGGAAGTATAGGGGGTCCCTAGAGGGTACAAAGAGTTAAGCAGTCAACTACTAACCAGAAGGTTAGTGGTTTGAACCCACTCAGAGGTGTCTCAGAAAAGGAGTTTCCAAAAGCTGTCTCTACTGTAATACATGAAGTCACCGTGATTTGAAATCTACTCCACAGCCTTGGGTTTGGGGTATAGAGAAGTTCAGCCTAAACTGTACACAGGCTATGGAGACTAGTAGTTGTAGTCGTGGGCTCTAGGTAGATCAGCGTTCAAGTCCTGGTGCTAACCCTGATCAACTGTGTGACTTTGAGCAGCTGACGCAACACTGTGGACCTCCAATCATCTCTTGGGCGGCCTTGAGGCTCAAAGCCAGTAACATCAGCACAGTGCTGGGCATGGTAGGGAGGGCTCGAGAAATGACATTGATGATGATCCGGTCAAGTGATGACTTTGAAATCTCTGGGCCTCCCCTTCCCCAGCTGTGAAATGGCTCGTGGGTTCTCAAATGTGGTCTCTGGACCAGCAGCATCCGCGCTGGGAGCTTGTTTGAAATGCAGGTTCTTGGGCCCCACATCAGATCTCCTGCATCAGAAACTCTGGGGGTGGGGGCCAACAGAATCAAACCAAACTCGCTGCCACCGAGTTGATGCTGAGCCGATAGGACTGGGTAGAATTGGCCCTGTGGGGTACTGACACTCTCTTTCTTTACCAAAAGAAGGAGTTTGATTTATTATTCAAAAAAGCTTCATTTGTATCGACTTAGCTCTCTGCCCCTGTGCTGTGCCTTCCACGCGTCCACCACGGAGTTCGGCTCCTCAGTAAGGAGAGCCCGCTCCGCTGGACCCTGTCTGGGACACCCTGAGCACCCGTGGGACCCCCACGGGCCCTGCCCACTGGCTTGCTTGTTTGGACAAGCTCCTGGGAACTTTGGGTCCAACCGCACGGACCCCTCGGCCTGGGCACATGCCACACGCGGACTTTACCAACCATCTTTGTATCAGAGTGAACACTTCTGTTATCAGGGGTCGGGACCGCCTAGGTGTGTTAGAAGCGGCATAGCAGGGTGAGCTACCCCGGTAGGTAGGTCAGACAGCGAACCATTCTACACAGCGTCCCCCGGAAAAGGAAGAAGCAACTCTCAGCCGTTGGGAGAGGAGGAAGCATCATCTCTTTTCCTCCCAGTGATCTCCTTTGAACAAACCCCCAGGAAGGCATAAACCATTGACCTTGGGATCTCTAAGACCTCATCTTGATCTGCTCTCCTAAGACGATCTAAGGGTTAGAAAGCTCCTGAGCAGGGAGGTTGGGGTGTGTGTGTGTGCGCGCATGTGTGTGTGCACGTGCGCGCGCGGGCGGGGTGTGGGGTGGCACACAAAGATGACAGAGCTGTAACCCAGGCCGGGTGGAAAGGGGACGCAGACTCCCATGAGTGTCTGCACTAGAGTGAGAGACTGTACAAAGACCCAAGTCAGCGCAGCCCACAAGTCAGTGCTGTGATGAATCGCTCAGAGAAGAGACAGACCTTTAGGCCGCTGCGGGAAGATTGAGCAGTCCTCCGGTGCTGGTTCCCGATTTAGCTTTGTTGGGAGTCCTCCCATGAGTCTAACTGAAGTCTCCCTACCTTGTATCCTTTGGTGGTGGGTGAGCGGGCAGAGCTCTGGGCTTGAGGCCAGAAGAGGTGCTTCTGTACTTGATGAGGTTGGACATCTCACTTGCTGTCCTCGGAGGACCCGTCTGTAAGGTGGCAGGGGTGGGGGTGGGAGACTCTACCCTGTGGGGTTGGGATGGGATGAGGCCTTGAGGCCTGACACACTGGCTGCTTGATCTCCCCCTGCTCCCTGGCCTAGACCTCCCCCTGCCTTCCCCTCGCACCCACCGCGCACTCATTGTCCTAGCGGTGGGTCTCAGGGCCTCCTCACCAAGTCTTTGCGATGTGGGAGGAGGAGGAGAAAATCGTGCTCTCTTCACCAGCTGTGACTAGTCAGTGGGTGGGGTGGGGGTGGGGGGGCCTGGGAGCGGGCCCTGGAAGCCCCCGTAGGCCGAGTTGGGTTGGAGCCACTTTTCGAGTGGCCTATTTTAAGGACCTCTCCAGACTGCAGCTGTTGGATGCCGGCAACCTGGAGCGGAGGGGGGCCTCCCAAGGGTAAAGAGTCCTAGCAGGTGGCTGGGAGACTGGGAAGCTGCTGGCAGCTCTCTGGCCTCCTGCCACCTTCTGGCCGGACCCCTTGTAGATGGATGGTGCCCATTTTACCAGGCTAGCAGACTGGGCCGCGAGCCCCGTGGGGAGGGCAGTGGAGGCTGCAAGTGGGGGTGACTGAAGTTTGGCTGTGGCTGGAGGTGGGGTGAGTGTCAGGCCCGGTGCCCAGTGGGCCCAGCTGGCAGCCTCTCTCCTCCCAGGCAGGCACAGGAACCTCCTGTGCCTGGTGCCAGGGGGAGGGACGGCAGAGGGCAGTGGGAGGAGAGGCCCGGACGCTGGTGATAGCAGCCTGGCTCAGGCGGGGCAGGCGCTAGAGGAGGAGCCGGAGCAAGCGAGGTGGCAAACTTCATTTCGCGCCTGGCGGTGGCTCAGGTGACCAGGGACCGTCTGTGTGGAGGCACTGCCCTTCCACAGGGACCGCGCGGCCATGATCCAGAATGTCGGGAACCACCTGCGAAGAGTACGAATGGGGGGCTGGGGTGGAGGGCAGAGGGGAGGGGGCTGCGGCTTCTGAAAGAGGGCGAACGTGCCCGTGTGCAGGGCCACAAGTCTGGCATCTTCTCTCGCACTCCCAGTGGGTCCGTTTCCAGCTCTCTTTGGGAGGAGACCTGGCAAACCCCATGGTAGTCAGGTCCTGCAGGGCCCGCTGCTTGGCAGGCTCCTCTGTGGTGTCTGCGTCGGGGATCCTAATCTGGGGGCAGGCGCTTCTCCCTGCTGAGGGCTGTAAGTGGGTCTCCTACCTGCAGGCTCCTCACCCAGCTCAGGGCTCCAAGGCCCCAGGGCTGGCAGTGGTGACAGGCCGAGGGTGTGCGTGCGCTGAGAGAGGGAGCATGCCAGGCTTGGGCTCTTGGGGCAGGAAACTCCTTGGGAGAGCAGGCATGGGATGCAGGGGGCGGGTGGAGGAAGGTGCCCTGCAAGGTGACCGCACAGAGAACTTTCCCCCGGGACCTCTGAACAGGGGCTTTGGAGTCGAGATTAGATGCGGAGACAGGAGACAGCCTCCATCGCTCGGTGGCACCTGGCAGACTCTTTGATCTCCTAGTCAACGGAGAAGGGTCAGGACAGACCGACAGAGGTCGCGTAGGGCATAGGGTGGGCGTCTGTTATGGATCGAATGATAATCCTCAAAAAATAGGTGTTGTTAATCCTAGCCTCTCTGCCTGAGGTCAGGGGCCCTCTGGTGCCATGTCTGGGAAATGCTGGGCTAACTGCAAGGTCAGTGGTTCAAGCCCACCAGCTGCTGTAGGGGGGAACGATGAGACTGTGTGCTTCCGGAAAGAACCACAGCCCTGGAAGCTGTACTGGTAAGGCTGTCCCAGGAGTTAGAGTCCACTTGATGGCAGTGGGCCGGGGCTTATGTCTGTGGTTATCACCCCATTTGCCTGTATGGTGTTTGTGAGGCAGGGTTAGTGCCGGCCGTGGTAACGGCATCTCTTTTGCGATACTGAGGAGAGTAAACAAGCGAGCAGAGGAGATCAGGGACAACTCGTGCCGGGCCTCAGGGGAGACAAGGACCTTCCTCTCCAGCCAACAGAGAGAAAGCCTTCCGGCAGAGCAATTGCCCGGAATTTGGCCTCCTGGCCTCAGAAGAGGAGCCCTGGTGGCGTGGTGGTGACAAATCGGGCTGCCAACCTTCAGGTCGGCAGTTCAGAACCACCAGCTGCTCCAAGGGAGAAAGACGAGGCTTTCTACCCTCATGAAGAGTTAAGTCTCAGAAACCCACAGGGGCAGTTGTCCCCTGTCCGGTGTCACTGCGCATCAGCATTCGAGAGACTCAATGGCAGTGGATTTTCTTTTCTTTTGTTTAATCATTTTATTGGGGCTCGTGCAACTCTTAATCACAATCCATCCATCCATCATGTCAAGCACATTTGTACATTTGTTGCCATCATCATTCTCAAAACATTTGCTTCCTACTTGAGCCCTTGGCATCAGCTGACTCGATGGCAGTGGGTGGAGCCTCAGAAACGACATTTCTGTCTGCTAAGGCCCCCCCACTTGTGGCGTTTCTGTCCCCGCAGCACTGGATAACGAAGACAACATCCTCACAAGATGTTTTGAGAAAAGTCTTTGAGATCGGGATAGGGCAGGTGACTAAAGCAAGCTCGGATTGGCCCCCGGACTCCCCTGGCAGCCCCATCCTGTCTGCACAAACAGCCCTCCCCCGACCTTCTCCGCCCTGGTCCCCCATCTCAGGCTCAGTCCTCCAACCAGCCCTCCAGCCGGAGGATAAATAGGATAACTGTGCGTCCATTCAGCAGTTCACACCCCTTACTTGATACACAAAGACCTTGCTAAGCTGGCCCCTGCCCACTCCTGTCCTCTCATTCTCCGCTGGACTCTCCCTCTGTTCTCCTCGGCAGTCCGCTGCCTCAGCCTGCGTGGGGTCGATCTGTTCTCTCACCCGTCCTGTGGTGCCAGCCGGGCCTTCTGCTGGACACACCCTGCTCTGCCAACGCGTCTCCTCTCAGGTCTCAGCCCAGACGCAGAGAGCCTCGGTGCCCGCACTTTGTCCCACATGCCTGCTGTCCCTGTCACCAGCCAGTGAACTCTGCGAGGAGCTCTCCGTAGAGCTCCCAGCACAGGAGCCGTGCAGGACGGGTAGAACCGTCCCTGTGGGCTTCCAGGCCTGTGCAAGAGTAGAACCTCTCTTTTCTCCTGTGGAGCAGCTGCTGCATTCAACTGCTGATCTTAACGCTTAGCAGCCCAGTGTGTAACCCGCGATGTCCCAGGGCTCCTGGCAGCACAGGGCCCAAACCCCAAACCAAACCCAAACCCACTGCCTTCCAGTTGATGCCAGTTCACAGCCCCTCTCTAGGACAGAGTCGAACCGCCCCTGTGGCTTTCCAATACTTTAACTCTCGACAGGAGTAGAGCACCCCGTCTGTCTCCGGAGGAGGGGCTGGTGAGTTCCAAGTACTGACCAGGCCTCCTACCACGGTATGCCTAATGCAATGAGTGGGTGCGGGCAGCAGCCCCCCGGCGAGGCCAGCGGGGAGATCTGAGCAGCAGAGCCCCTTGCTCTAGACCCCAGCACCTCCCAAGTGGACAGAATCTTTGCTCAGTACGTGTGCCCGGCCACACGTACCCCTCCCCTCCTCTTTGCTCACCCTGGTTCTCTGTTGTTAACCCTCACCAGCCATGGGCAAGGGAGCAGGGGAGGGATGGATCAGCGTTGGTGACAGAGGAGCGGGAACCAGAGCAACAAACCCTTAGGTCCTGTTGTCGTCTGTACACTAGGAACCATGCTAAGTCCTTTGCACACCGCTCATCCAGTTCTCCATGAGGCAGGCACAGTTCCCATCCCCACCTTTCAGGCGGAACCGAGGTTTGGGGAGGTTAAGTGATGTTGTGCCAGGAGCACCCTGGTAGGAAGTGGCTGAGCTGGGATTTGAACTCCAGCAGCTTGAGCTCTTGAGGAACCCAAGACTCAGCCTGATGAAAGTGGGCAAGCAGATTCCAGCCCACGTGTCCCAACTCTTAGCCAGCTGACCCCATAGACCCTGGGAGAGGAGTTGGGGTGGGATGGCGAAGCTGGGCCCATGAGATGACACTCAAAAACCCCACTGCCAAAGAGTTGCTTCTGACTCACAGCAACCCCATAGGATAGAGCAGAATGGTAGCAGTGTGTTTCTGAGACCATAACTCTTTGGGGAGTGGAAAGCCTCGTCTTTCTCCCTCCGAGTGATTGGTGGGTTCAAACTGCTGACCTTGTGGTTAACAGTCCAACTTGTAGTCCACTCTGCCACAGGACTCCTGGAGGCGACACAGGTGTCCTTATCCTGGGGGATTGCCTGAATCTTTGGAACCCTGCCTGAATCTCAGGCATCTGTGAATTGTCCTAGCCCCTCCTGAGCACCCACCGTCTTCTGAACACAGCAGGATCCTGGGAAGTTTTCTGGGTTGGTACCAAAGCTATTTTAAATAAAAAACCAGCAACTCAGACAACAGTTTGTCCTTGATTGCTCACCTTAAAGGTTTGGTGATTCCAGCCCAGTAGCACTTGGAAGAAAGGCCTGGAGATCTTTGGAAAGAGGAGAGCCAAGCTGGGGCGGTTCTACTTGGTAACACACGGGGTTGCCATGAGTCTGAATCTATCTGATGTGCCTGGGCTTTTAGTTTTGCCCTTACTGGGGCTGCCAGGTTGGCTGAGGCCCTCTCCGTTGTTTCCCTATGGCAGACAGACAGACAGAGACTGTCCTGTGGAAGTTGGGCAGGTCTGCCTCTTAGTGATCACAGGCTAGCCACGAGAGGTACTGGGCATGTGAGAGTGCATGCGTGAATGAATGTGCAGTGAGCCTGCGGCGAAGCTAGGGGCGGGGGTGAACAGTGCCGAGAACCCATCTGGAGGTCCCAGGCCCGTCTCAGAAGATCATGCTGTCACTGGAGAGCCTTCTTTCCCCACCAAATGTTTACATCCCAAACACCGAGTCCCACAGCCCTGGGCTGGCGGCCCCTGTGGGGCCCTCTCAGGAGGCCCTTACGTCTGGGAAGCTCCACTTGGACAGTCCGAGCCCGTCCTAGTCAGATGGGGGTGGGCTTCCCCTGAGCAGGCCTATGCCTGGGCAGTGCCACAGACTGCAAACCACGCCTGGGGAGCGGCCCATGGCCTTGGGACACAGTGGCCGAGATAGCTCTGGTAGGTGGCTTTAAGCACGGACTTTGATTCGCTCACTGTAGTGGAGACCAGAGGCCCAGAGCAGAGTCTGGGCCGTGGACATTTCTTCTGAGAGTCTCTCCTAGGTCAGGCCTTGGTGTTTGCTGGCCACCCTTGGCCTTCCTCACCCCCTGGCTTACTCTCTGTACTTATCTGTTCTGCTCCTTTTATAACTCAGAAAATGATGAGATGTAGACCCCACCCCATGACCTAATTCACCTCATAACAAGGAAAGCCTCTATTCCAAATACAAGCGTTAGGATTTCAACACACCTTTTTGGGGGGAGACGGGGGAAGGACCTAATTCAATCCATAACAGTTCCTGTGCATGCATTCCACCATCTCCATCACCCCCAACTATCATCTCCCTGCTTCACCTGGACCGGAGGATAGCTGGAGTTCCTTCCCCCCAACTCAGCTCTCCAGCCTCACTAGGGTTCCAGCCCGGGGTCAGGAGGTTGGAGTCTGCCACTCCTGGATCAGAATCTTACACACACCCCATGACTCACTGTGCGGCCTTGGGCCAGAGGCTCCGCGCTCTGGGTGTCCCTGAGATCCTCGGCAGCCGTGGCACCCCTGGGAGTCTGGGTCTTTGTGAGGGTCTGTGCATCTCCCTGAGCTTGGTCCAGATGATGGAAGGCAGAGGTGTCTGCTGTGGGGCAGAGGAGGCAACTTGCTATGGGGCCCAAACTCTGATAAACAGAAGAGACGGAAGTTGTCAAGGATTTTGGCTGGCTTGGGTCCACAATCAGTGCTCATGGAAGTAGCAGTCAAGAGGTCAAACCATGCATTGCATTGGGTAA